CTATAGGGCAGATCACATAGTTTTGCGGTCCCATGGAACCGCAAAATCATGTGATCTTTTTGCAACGATGAATTAAGAACACTAACATATTTATTTCTAAGAATTAGAAATAAGAATCTTATAATCTAATCAGATTGCAAAAAACACAGAGCCAAATCCTCTTTTACTAATTTTTTTAGTGCATTTGTAAACTACTCTAAAATTTGAAAAAGTTTGACTACTAATAGTGAGTCAATTTTAATTGACTTCATATAATATTAGAATTATTAATATTTATAGTTTTTTATTGTTAAATAAAGTGTATCATTAAAAATAAAGATAAATCATAACTTTTCCAATATGTTGCATATAAAGGAGCGCGGTAATTTAAAATTATCTTTTGGTCAAAGACCATATATAGGCTTTTGTGACATGTAAACTGTTAAAATATTAACCAAAAGGTTTTATTAATGATTGCGTAAGAACAAATCTTACATAATTTTTTATCATTCACAAAATGAATTAAAGAAAGATGCTTAGTAATATTCTATATAAAAGAAAATTATTCACAGCTTTATTAACAAAAATCATGTCTTGCCTGTATTCAGGGCAGATATTAAGTAGAGATAGCAAAAAATGGTTGTTATTTTTTTTAAAACATTGGTGCTAATATTTAAAATATAATAATAATGTTACATTATATTTGTTTTAAACGAAAAAAAAAAAAAATTTTAGATCATAAAAATATTGATTTAAAACATTGTATTTTAAAACACTTTTGATCTCTAATATGGTCTTTTATAATGAATTATTAATGAAATGCTTAAATCTCGTATTTATTCTTAAATTTGTACAGCATATAACATTCGGAGATTCAATCATTAAGATTATATTTATATTTGGTCTTTTTAGCTGCCTTCAAATTATAAGTTACAACAGTAACTATATTCTGAAAATAATATTTAACAACATTAGATTATTTATGTATGATGGGAAATTGCATATTAACAAATGCATTGAATAGTTTAAAGAATAATACCTGCACTAATAATAATATATATAATAATTCATGTATATTTTCCCAAAAAGTTGGTTTTAGAGGTATGTCCGCTTCGACGATTAGAAAATAAAAATAAAAATTATTCTTTCTCTGAAGCCCATATATTTTCATGTGCTTGCCTAAATAAACAAAAAGTTATTATGTAAATTTTAAGACAAAAACAGCAATGCTAAATACTTAGCTTACCAGTTATATTAATACACAAAATCGTAAGAAAAGAATAAATTTCTTTTCTATTTAATCATTTTTGGGTTGTTACAAAATTGTATCCACCCTTACATAAACAAATTAATTTAGCAGGATCAGATGAAACTTTTTTTTCTGTAGTTATGCATCGTTCACTTTTAATGTAGAATAACTCTAGGGCCTTTTCACTAATTTTAACTATATATATTATATCAGGTTGATCTCCAATTGCTGAAGCCTTTGTATTTGCAGATTTATATTCTTGATTTGCTCGATTTTGTAGTTCTCCTCTGGAAACATAATATGTTAATAAATTAAGTACTTCAAAATATACAAATCTAATAATTAAAATTACTTTAATATGCATATGACATCTACTGGAAGATCATCTAATGCTACAGAAAGAAGCGGTTCTATAACTTGTGTTAGAAAGTCTCTCTCAGATTGATTCTTATTCCAATCCTTATTTAATTTTCAAATATTAAGTCTAAAAAAAAATAATTAATTTAGTATTATTTTATTCTTAAATAACATATTTTTAATAATACATACAAACACTTTGTAATGTTTCGAGAATATTTCTTTCATTGCTCTAAATTTTCTACCCATTGACTCAAAAAGGTAATAGAACTTTCAGAGATAATCCATTTCAGAACAGTATGGTTGCATTAAGATTCTTGAATAACTATTTGCACTCTTCTACTACATCTTCTTCTAATTCCAATTTCTTTGAAAATTCTCCCTATTATAATTAACATGGTTAGATTTTGTATTTCTATATCAACTAAAAACTTACTTTGGCAAAATTAACTATAGTATCTTTGAGTTTACTTGCCCACTCAGAGGTGATGTCAATGACTTCCATGCTTAATGATTCATAATCATTATCATCAGACTTTAGAACTAATTTGTCCAAAGTATTATAGATATCTTGATAAGCATTACGTTCTTCATTAGAGTATCTTCCCCGAAGAATTTGAGTCTAATTTATAACTACATACATTATTCCAAAACTTTATCAAATAATGATAATTTTAATATAAATACTTTTTAAACTCTGCTTTATGTTTAAGGTGTTTGTGGTAATGTCTTGTATTTTTGCTTTTTTACAAGAAGAAGCAACAAGCTTTTTATTTTTATGCAATGAGTTTATCGTTGAAATGACACTCCTTATCTAAAAAAAAAAAAGAAAGACAAAAGATTTTATTAGATACAATTTTAGGATAATGAAAGAATTATTATTAACAATTAATCTAATTGATCTAAACATATCAGAGTAAATTTGCATACACTTTTTGATTCCTGGGAGTATTGGTTATTAGCAACAAGGACAGCCCTACTTTAGAATATAATATGCAAGTTTACAGCTACAACAAGAACAACCCTATTTCAGGAAGATTTAGAACAATCCAAATATATCCCTACTGAATTGCGGTTGCTATAACAAGTACTTGTGATTATAAATATATTCGTACTGAACTGTGGTTATTAAGATCTCTTCGAACTCATCATTTATAAAAATAATATTCAGAAATTTATAAAAAAAGATACTTACGATAACGGAGGAAGTTTCTTTAAGAAGCAATAGTTTTTCTTTTCTTTGTTTTCTTAGTGATTTATCTTGCAAGGCAAGTTCAATTGCATCATAAAATATAATAGCTTCTTTTTCTATATTGCCAGTTCATAGTTTCAGTTCAATTCTATGGTGAAAAATAAGTGCTGGCTCAAGTGATTTTAAAGTTGGATTTTTTAAATTTAGTTGCGA